CACTTATGGACTCGACGAGTGCTTCCATGTTCTTACTCAAAGGACCTTCTAAGGTCAGATCTGCTTCCCTAACTATCAGATCTACCCTTCAAGTGCTCAAATGTCACGTAAAGGTGAAACCTTTACGTGCATGCAACCCACAACAAGTCATAAATGGAGAAATAACTCTAAAAATGGCAACCTAGTCTCCAATCCTCCATGAACAAATAAAAAGCAGAATGGAGAAGGTTCTCTGGACCTCTATGGGTCCAGATCTGAGGTCTAACCCAGCAAGGGACCATAAACTCAACTCTTCAAGCCTTCAAAGGTTATAGAAAACCCTAAATCATAGATCTTAACCCAAAATAGAAAGGAAGTTCGATTTGATACCTCAATAGTGTAGATCTGAACTTGAAAACCCTGGATCCACAGGTCCCTTGACCTCCTCTTGTTGGAAACCACTTCTCCTTTGCTGGGAATCCGGATGTTTGCAGTGAAATTGTGTATAGATCTATATGGGACCAAAAATCCCACACCCTTACTGTTAGCTACAGTTGGACCGATAGGTCTGCGGGTGACAAAGTCATAAACAATACAGGCGTCCGTTTCACATCGTATCAACTAGTATGGTCATAACACTCACAAATAGATACTAACGATATATTTACGTAGTAATATACTTTCTTAAACAATCTTAAGGGATATTAACTATGTGATTACTCAGTGTATACTATAAGGTCAGATAAAACTGAAGTCCGGTAGACAGTGGAATGTGTGATTTCCGCCTCATTTCATGTTCCTTGTTTGGTTGTGGGCTTAGGGCAGATTCACCCATTTAACTGTCTGTTAGATCTCGGTTATATACAACTCGTATGTATTAAGTGATCATAGGAGGGTAGTATCGCCATATCAGGTATTCAGGGTAAAAAAGTCTTTATTCAGTTTAACATATCAACAAAACTAGATATCATTGAAGTAAGTATATTGATTATACTTGTGCTTTTCGATCTTGGAACAACATAGACAACCAGTCGGTTTTATAGAAAATATAGGATTTTCTATGGTAAACATCGTCTATTTAAGGTAAACAGTTTTCGATAGAACTTTCTGAAAACAATAGCATTTATCACCGAAAACAATGTTTCACAATAGAGCTAGTGAAACTATAAACTTATTTATAAAAGGTTTAATATTTCTTATTAAACTAGTATAACATAAATGACCTTTATTGGTTCATTATATAATTCCTTAGTTTAAACATTAGGGTTATATATAATTAATATCCGATAGGCAGTGGAATGTGTGACTTTCGCCTTACTTCCTGTTCCTTGTTTGGTTGTGGGCTTAGGGCAGATTCACACATTTAACTGTCCGTTCGATATTAGATTATATATAACTAGTATAAAGTAAGCAATTATAGAAGGAACTATTGTGGTTACCATTTTACTAAATAAAATATATGATATTCTTAAAGAATATTTTCATCAAATGTCAAGGAACTATTACAGTTAACTCCGTAAGCACCTGGTGAATACATCAGGGTTATATACAATGAGGATCTAACAAACAATGGAATGTGTGACTTCTGCCTCATTTCATGTTCCTTGTTTGGTTGTGGGCTTAAGGCGGATCCACACAATTCATTGTCTGTTTGATATGGATTGTATATAACTAGTATTCATTAAGTACTCATAGAAGGAATTGTAAGAGTCATTTTTACTTATCATTCATCACATAAGAAAATATAGGATTTTCTTGAGGAACAGACGAACTTTTCCAAAAAGAACTTAGAGTGTACCTTTTTATAACAAAAATGTTTATGAACTCACCAACTTAAATGCTGATCTACTCTTTCAAAATAACTTGTATTCTCAGGAAACAAGTAGACAGGTACGCGCACAACGATTCAGAAGATGGAGCATAGTAGCTTCATCTCTTTGTTTTGTTATTTACTTTTGGAGTCAATCTTTTGTGAATCGAATACATTGTAACCCTTTAATATTAATGCAATGGTTGTTGTTACTTTGATTACTATGTAGCATGTGTTGTGATACCGAGCATGACGTCCTCCGCCCCCAAACGTTTCCGCCGTTCCGGTTTGGGGGTGTGACAATTTTCCTTATAATTAATTTAGGTTTGCTCTTTATCCTAAATCATCATATATTATCAGGTATGCTCTTTAACACATATTTTAGGCAACATCAAATATTTCACACATAAACATATATTTGATACTTAAATCAATACTTGTATTAAAATCATGTTCATGAAAGGGACTATGCACTCACTTGTTAAAGTGATGATTCCAAACTCGGATATCACTTCGCTTCTTAACAATATAATTTCATTCGACAAAACTTACAAGGGGGTTTTAGCTAGGAGTCGGGCTCTGCAGGGGCAGAACTTCGTCGCTGAATCTTTCTAAGAAAGATTCTTGCAGCGCTTCGAAGATCACCTTACTATACTAAAACTACGGAAAGAGAAGTCGAATCACGAGGGACCGAAATGCTCAGGGATAAGAAGAGAAAAACTCTTGAATCAAGAGAATGGTGCAAGAAATATGAGAGCCTAGAGACTCTTATTTATAGTAACTGAATTTTCAAAAACCACCATCTATATTTAATTAAATGACAAAACACCCTTTATAAAACTATTTTAAATAGATTTAATGATATTTGTACTAAACTCATGTCGAAAGTACTCAACACTAGTTTTATAACGACCGCATCGTCGATACCTTTTTCTCTCTCTCTCTCTCTCTCTCTCTCTCTCTCTCTCTCTCTCTCTCTCTATATATATATATATAGATATATATATTATTATATTATATATATAATATATATATATATATATATAGATTTACAATTTTTTTAATATGTAAATGTGCTATTAAATATTATAACTCGTTCATACGAATTCCGTTTTTGACGCTCTTTATATCCACGTGTAGCTATCGACGAGATCTACAACTTTCGTTTAGACTCCGTCGGCTAATTTTGAATTTATATTTTTGTCCATATTTTTATAAAATTAAATGATTTTGCTAAAATCATAACTCTCTCGTACGGACTCCATTTTTGACATTCTTTTTCTCAAAATTCCTATTTTAAGGATTACTACGGTCTTCTTTTTGTTCGCATTAGCTAAAAGTGAATCATTCTCTTCGTAGCTTTTTACGTCATACATTCGTTGTGCGCGACTAACTTTTATATCTTATAAAAATCATATCTAATTTATACGGAGTCGGATTTCTACGAAATTTATATTTTTTGGAATCGGGAAGACGTGTACTTTCTAAATATAATATATATATATATATATATATATATATATATATATATATATATATATATATATATATATATATATATGTTTTGGCGCACTTATTTTTATGATTTACGGACGATTCGACTGATTTTTCCTATTTTATTATATTATAAGAATAACGAAACATATAATATTCACATAATTATTCTTTATTAAATCAAATAGGTTACAATTGTTGACCATAACTATTACTTTGGTTAAGATTATTTATCCTAAATAAAAAAAATTATTTGTAACGCTTATTATTGACTAGCCCGCATCTGCGGGTGTTACAATCTTGTTTTCTATATATTCAATAAAACGCAAGCACACGAGTAATGGGTGATATTCTTCTAATTATCACATGGTACCATGTTAGTACCTATCTTACCTAACTCGATTTTTGTTACAGTTTAGTTAACACCTTTTTATTTGTTTATGCACGTGGTACTGCTCTTCTATACCTAGTTGTCTACATAGAAGATATTATTGTCATAGCAATGATCTCACTTTACTTCATGATTTTATCCAACGAACAGACACACATCTCTCATTTAAATATTTGGGTCCCTTAAGTTATTTTCTCGAGTTAGAATCCACTTACACCAAATATGATATTTTATGTGACAAGTTAAATATGTCTGGATATTCTTAATCAAGCATAGATTCTCATGTCTAAACCTGTTGCTACTCCTGGGTGGCACGGTGTGCAACTCCATAGTTCACAATGATATCCATTTAGTGGCCATACCTTCTATTTAACAATAGATCTATTGTTTGGGAATTTCGGTACTTAACCATCACTCGACTTAATCTCTTATTTTCATTTAAATCCATTAGTTAGTTCTTCGATCGGATACTAACGCTCGTTTATTGGATATCAAACACATTTTAGGATACAATAAGGGTATGACCCATCATGGCCTTACTTTCTATTGTTTCATTGATTTCACATATATCCATGACTATTATGATGCTTGAGCGTGTTTGTTGCCTAGAAACTTATTGACACACTTATGGTTATTCAATACTTTTAGGCAACAATTTAATCTCTTGGAGTGAACGAATTGCTTTTATAAAACTCAATGTCTCATATCTTATTCAATAAAAGCGTCGTCTTTTTGTCTCGAAATCAAGTTGCCCTTTCTGCTTCATGCCTTAAGAATCAATTGAATTTGCGTATCATCTCTTCGACATTGGCCCACTCCCTTCCTTCTAGTTCCTAAAACAACCCTCCTTCCAAGAGACCATAAGTAAATGTTGCTATGATCATGGGGTCGTCTCTCGTTGGCATCCTTTTGCTGATTTCATTAAACTGTTTAAAGTATGCTTTATTCAATTCACCTTCACTTTGGCGGCAAGCGAATATCGCATGCACTTGTTGTTGGAACCTCCTTTGTTAGATGAAGTTGTTGCAAAATTTGTTACATAGATCTTTGAAGCTTCCTATGCTTCGAGTGGAAGACTAGCTAGCCAGTATCGAGCAGATTCGTCTAAGGTACCTACAAAGTATAGGCTCCACAACTTTGGATCCATTGGGATCATCTTTATGTCCCACTGGAAGTCTGAGACATGGTCGTATGGATCTCCCGTCCCATCATAGGGCGACACTCTTGGTCCTTTCAACCCTGCTGGGATGGGTGTCTCGTTAATGCCATCCGTAAATGGTGAACAGAAGTTTAAATTCTTAAAAGTCTGATTGTATCTTTTTGCTTCTACCACTTCCAAGGGTTTTCCTTGGTCCTTTTTAGTGTCTTTTCTGAATTTTGCATGGCCAGATCTCTTCTCCTTTTCTCACGTTCCATTACTTCATCTTCTTCTTCGTTTGAGTCCTTCGTTTGATCTGTGTGAACATAAACCTGATCCCACTCCTTTTCTTTGTAGGGTTGCTTTTCTTTCTGTAACATTCTCATGTTATTCATATCTTTGAAGGTTTTAAATGCTTCTAACTTATCTATCTCCCATTCTTCCACCATTTTAGATTGTTGACTCGTCCTTCCTTCTTCAACTACACCCCCTGTTGTCACGTTTTGGTGTCTTACCACAATAGTAACTTGTGGTGTTTCTCCAAAACATTTGAGGTTCTGTATTCTCGTAACCGTACTCGCATTAGCTATTGGTGTGTTTACGCCGGCCATTTGCAGCGAGGTCCCACGGATGGCGCCACTTGACGCGCCACCGGGTCCGACTTTCATTGATTAATTTAAATGTGTTAGTTCAAGTACTTCAATTGACCTGGAGAATACAAACAAATCGTAAGTCGATTGACCGGGATGATATCATGTGCCAATGCTCCGATGATAACGTCAGTGAAGACTCCGAAGGATAAGTGAGTAACAGTGATCGAATCGATTTAGAATGGATGAAGGATGTTTTTGTACCTGGTGGAGGTGAATCATATCATCTATTTATAATGAAGGTGAAGATGGATGTTGACCTCTTCATGTACCGATGAGGCTTACCATCTTGTCGCATTTATGCCCGTATGCCCGAAGGTACATATTATTGTACTTGTTATCTGTTATCCAGTTGTTCTTTGTTGGCCCTAGGACCCATTAATCACACATCCTTGTATAGGATGTATACTCAGAGTTCCTATGTATTATGTTACTATTGTGACGTCGTATCATACTTTGATCGTGCCTCAAGAGATATTAAGTTCGGTATATATGCCTGGTTCGGCACATATACTAGTTCGGTATATATGTCTGGTTCGACACATATGCTAGTTCGGTATATAGGAAGGGTATACATATCTATTAGGTTATGCTATACCCTATTAGACATATTAGAAGTGAATGAAATTCATGCACATGAATTGAAACTCTATATGTGATATTGGAACATAAACATGAAGGGATACTAGTAAACTTCTAGCTCTAGTGATTGTTTTAGCCTAAAGGGCAACTTGGGAAACATGTAATGGAATTGAGTATTCCATAGTTGGATTAAGTATTTACAATGAGATTAATTTTGATTTCATGTACTTGACAACTTTCATATGGGTATTCAATAAGTTAGGAACAAACTATGTCAATATTAGAATGTGTAATTGGAAATTAGTCTAGCTAAACCTTCATTTAAATCTTGATGATCTTTATGTTAGTAAAAGGTTTCAATGAGCATTTAATAGATTAAGTGGAGTGTTTTAAGATAATAAAATACCTCCTAATCATGTGTGAGAACCTATACAAATGGTTCAAAGTGAATTGGAAATGGCCTTCAAGAAATATACAAAGTAAAGTGCCTTAATGAGACAAAAAATTGCACATTTAGGAGCACAACAGGTTTCACTGTAGGGTTACGGTAAAACATTTCACCATTACGGTGAACTCTACTGTCATTACGGTGAAACTTGTTCTAAAAATCATTGTTTTTCACTTTTATGTTTTGAAACCTTCCCAAAACCTTTTAAACATATATTTTTATCATATTAAGGCTTAGGAAAAGTTTAGAACCCTTATAGGGTATTTTGGTCATTTATTGACTTTTATACATGATGTATAGGTGGTGTTCGAGAGTGTCGCTCTAAGGAAAGCAACTAGATGAGGAATAGTTAGCCTTCTTGTGATTGAGGTGAGTACATGTTAGCATTTTCCCACTTTGGGGTACATGACAAAATGATTTTATGACAATGAAATGCAATGCTTTCATATATGAAATGTTTTGAAATTAAAGTGTTAAATGTTTTTGAAAAGAATCTTTTAAAATAATGCTTTGAAAGTAAGAATTTTTTTAAAGTAGAGAATATTTTGGAAGAACTAATGTTTTATGTGAAATGTGTCTTTTCAAAGTATATCTTCCTAATAACCTATGATATTGTAAATGATGATATGAGTATTGTTAATGTGGAAAGTGAAAGCTAAGAATAAAGTTAAAGGGAAAGAAAATAAAGAAAGAATGAAAGTTGCCCCGGCCATGATGTCTCATAAGAGGTCTAGAGGAATCTACTGGGGTGGTACTTCCCCTTCGCGAAGTAGATGTCCCAGTTAGCATGATGCTTTGGTGGATTGATCTGTTCTTTCCACCTTGGTCTAGACTTGGGGGTACCCTAAGTATAAAAATGGCAATGGGTTAATACGAGATTTATCCCTTAATGATAAAAGTAATGAAATGTGGAAATATATATTTTGAAATGAAATGATAAAATATGAAATGATATTTATGACATGTATGAAAAAGGTTTTCCTTGAAAATATTTGAAAATGCTTTATGGTCTAAAAGTATGTTATGTTATGAATGAAATGATTTTTCACGTAAAATGTGATAAATGATTTGGGTCACAAACCTGAGTAGCTCACGAGATACTTTTGTCTTACGTATCTCTTTTTAATGCCATGTATCACAGGTTGCCCTTGAGGAGAGATGATGATAGATGGAAGTCATAAGTCAAGTGATAGAGAATGGAGTGGAACTTGTTAAGTTTCTTATTAATTTTATCGATGTAATTCATATTTGCTTGTTATGGTTGTATGATGCTCCATGGCAACACCCAAAGTTTTAACTGTAAATGTTTTTGTGGGATTGTTTTTCTTTTTAAATGTGGGTTAACATCCAAAATGATTTTGATAACCATAGCACTGAAAAACTTTTTAAATAATTGGGGTGTTACATGTCCAGCTCCCTGAACATCTACACCCCATTCCAGTAACTCTACTTAGATCATGCCTACATAATACGTGTATTGTACTTTATTTATACTTTTATTTCAAATACTTCTTGTATTATCATGTTGTACACACATATTTATTCACCTTTTTATTAATATATTAGGGTATGAATAATTTAACACATATTCTTATGTTTACACATAACCCAAAACTGGGGCTCATTTTTCGTTTTAAACACTCACACCAACCAAACTTGTGATATATGATGTGGGTTCTGTTCCTAACATCAAGACTTAGCTAAAATTATATTTCATGGACCAAAAACATTCACAAAGTGAAGTTCTTCAGTTTGAGAGTTTTCGGGACAAAATTAAGTAAAAAGAAATGTTGTTTCTTGTTTTTAGGCATTAACACAAGACCAAATCAGTTAAGTATGACAAGTACTAGTCCCAGAAACCTACAACAAAATATGGAACAAATCCAAGAGCTCGAAATACAACATGATTCGTTCAATACATTAAAACCCGATAAACAAGCGAAAATGTAACTTCGAGAGCATTTCGAGATGTCTATTCTTTTTCCAGAATCATGATTTTGTTCCTAGTGTCAATGGGGCCTATGAACGGCCTTATTCGCGGATAGAACTTTCCAAACGCATCATAAAACATTTAAGAACTGAAATCTCGTTATATATGGTTTCCAATGGGTTTAGAGGTTATCGGAGGCAGCTCCAGCTACCATAGTGGCGGGGAAGCTCAAGGGGTGTTACTAGGACTGATTGAGGTTGAAACATACCAATAGACACATACATACATATAGACATATACACACATACATGATTATTTATACTTTCACCAACTTATTATTATTATTATTATTATTATTATTATTATTATTATTATTTAGCATGTACGAGGGGTGTTTCAGATTTCAAAAGCTTTCCATCCATATATATATATATATATATATATATATATATATATATATTATATATATATATATATACGAGGGGTGTTTCATGATTCAAAAGCTTTTGAAATCTGAAACACCCATCGTACATGCTAAATAATATATATATATATATATAAATATATATATATATATATATATATATATATGTATGTATGTATGTATGTATGTATGTATGTATGTATGTATATCTTATATTCTTACATAAGGAGTCGAAAATGTAGTAAAAAGAAAAACATATACATTACCATATATGTTCTAAAATTTGTTATACCGAGAGATCGTAAACTCCACACTGGCTAGACTTGATGTACTAATTTAGAGGTTGTAAAAACAGAGGAAAGGTTGAATTCTAACTTATTAAAAAACGAAGACGTGGAACCGGTAACTAGGGATCACATACGAAGAAAATGAAAAGAATGAGGATTAAATTTTAAATGACAACCGGTTAATAATATGGGTGATCAATTTTAAGGTGTAGACGAGTGATGGTTTTTTATGACATTGATAAAGTAAGAAAAATATGAGAGGTAAAAAACATAAGTGCCCTCATGTGAGAAACACATGTTTGACATAACATATGTTTTTTAACGAGAGTTAAAGGCAGAGAGAAAATCGACAATAAAACATGTTTATAAAAAAAATATCTATACAAAATTGATAGCTTAGGGACTCAATGTAACGACCAAAAAATACCGAGTAAAAAATTCATTTTTAGTATGTCAAAACCATTCATTATCCCAAAAAGACGATAAGAGTAAAAGTATTCTCAAAATATCATAGTAAAATCATAAACAATCAAGGCAGAATAAATCTTCAGGGGATGCAATGCAATAAAGTCGTGCCCTTCTTTTTAAACCATGAGTACCTGAAAGTATTTTAAACATAAATCGTAAGCACACAGATCAGTGAGTTTCCCCAAAATCCCTCACACAAAAAAACATATGCAGGCATACATATTGGGTCCACAGTGATCGGACTGGATTATCCTCGGGTCCACAGTCATCAAATTGGATAACCCCCGACCCACAGTCATCAGACTAGATTGCCCCAGATTTTTTGGCATACAACGTAGAGGAGTAAAGCCTCAACCCAACCACACTATGTCGACATATGCAACAAATAATCAATAACTAGCAAATACAAGCAATCATACAGATCTACTAATCTAACAAATCACTATAACATAGCAACATCCTATACATAATGATACATAACACAACCTAGTGGGCCGACATTGGTGCCTTCGACCCACGAGTACAGTGAGGAAAACTTACCTGAACTATTAAACAGAAACCCTATCGCTACCTCAAAAACAGAACAACCATCCCAAGCTTATTATAGCCAAACCAAAACCAGACCTTAGTCAAATACTCAATGCTACCCAAGGTTGACCAAAAGTTAACTGGTCAAAAAGTCAACGGTCAAATTCAACTCCAGCTGACGCCCACATCGTGGCCAACCCATGGCCACGTTGTGGCCACTTAATCCAGTCTCGATGAAAAACTGCTACCAAGCCATGGGGGACATGCCACCACGACATGGCAGAATCCATGCAAAACAGTCACAAATAAACTCGTTGCTACGCCGTGCCGAGCATCATGCCACGTTGAGTA